TTCACTCTCACACTCTCTTAACTCTCTCAAACTCATTTTTTTCTCGTGTTCTCTCTCTTATTCTTACATTTTCACTCTTATAAACTCAATAAAGCAACGAATTGTGAATTGAATCAAATTTAAGAGGCTAATTTGGAAGGATTAAGAGGAACTTTTTAATAAGAGATATGTATATCTACACATGTGATTACTTAATTCATTTGAATCTTAAAATTTAAGTTGTATACAAAATAATCTAACAATTCAAATATTTTTTTTGTAGACAATTCAATATTAACGGAAGGACGTTTCAGTATGAACCGAAATTGCGAGCCTTACACAAGGCTACTCCTCAAAGCCCAAAAAGGAGAGTTTTATGCTCATTTTAGGCGTACCGCTCAATACGCCCTGGCGTACCACTCGATATGTCGTATCGTACCATACCGTACCGTGCAAAGCTCGGTACATTGGTATAGCATGAGATTAAAAACCTCGATCTGAATATCCTAATTTATTACAGTTATCTGATCTAAGGTTTCAAACTGTTCAGCATGGACCCAAGTCAGAAAGACTACAATGAAAAATGGCACAGATTAATTTATCCGGGCAATTCTAAACAAATGAAACTAAACTGTAATAACTGGTTCTTAGTTCATTTGACCTAGATGCTCAAATCCCAATAAATCCATACTGATCACCGTAGACAATTCTTAATCACTATGGGTTGTGATCTTGACTAAGTTTATAGTATCTTTTAGCTAGAAATGTTTTTCTTTTATAAGTTCCTTAATTTTCCAGTTCTATTGTGCATTACTTAATTTTTTTAGTGTTATTTGATTTTTTTACTCTTCTAAACTTTTATTCCATTGTTATACAACATGCCAATTCAATAATCTAGTCTAGCTGGTGGTGATTCCATTTCTAAAAGCTATTAGCAATCAGCAAATTTAATCTAAAGCCTTGAACCTTAGACGACCACTGGAGACCAAAAAATCCCACCATTATCAAGCCACTAGAATATATGAACGTTGAGACAATTAAATGGCAACTGAATCAATCCTAAGGTCATAGCCAGGACTACTCAGTCTACTATGATGTGATATATACTAAAGCATTTAGTGAATTCACAATGTGAATCATAGTTATTTCATGCTTGGCGTCCTTCAGAACTAGAGTCGGTTCCATATTGCGCTTCACCAGAATAGGTGATCAATTGGTTCACCATGTCTCTTTAAAGGAGTGCCAACTGTTTCATGTCATCGTAAAATTGATTGATCTTTCTACTTTAAACACAAAGGGATAATCCACAAATATTGGTGATCAATTGGTCCAACATGTCTCTTTAAAGGAGTGCCACCAACAATTTCATGTCATCATAAAATGGATTGATCTCTATACTGCAAACACCAAGGAATAATCCACAGATATGATCAGGCTCCAGTGCAGCCTCGAAAGTCAAGAGAGTGCCTTTGTGATCCATACTAGTCATAAATTGCAAAGGCAGAAAACAAAAATTTGTGTTTAGCAAGTTCTTTCTCACAAAGATTTTATGGCATGTAATGACAAAAGGATCATTGCAACCTAAAAGATAGTATGTCATAAAAGAAAAGATACAATGTGCCAAATGATAAGTTTAGGCTCCATTTGGAATAGACAATTAGTTAGTGCACAGTGAACAGATTATGAGAAGTGATTAATTTTTAAGTAAATAGAAGAAAATAAAAGAACTAATATATAAATTGTTTCCAATGGCAATTTTCCTATATTTGAGGACAGAAATAGTACATCATAAACTATTGACTAAGAAAAAATCAAAATGATATCAATATGAAACCATAACTGGATAGGGATAAATCAAAATAGGCAATTTTGCTTGCGAAGAGGATATTAATGTATTGGCCAGAAGTAAATGAGATGGGTATTCAACAAACTAGAGTTCAATTGAGCAAACTCAGGAACGATTCAACAGTTCAGATTTGGCATTAAGCCTGCTATTGCTTATTCTTACTTGATTTTTAAAACTAAGATTTTTGCACTACCCATCCAAATTACTCATCGATTGAAATGACCAACTCTTTTAATAAATTCACCTGCTGTTTTTGCTTTTCCTTTATGTATCTTATAATGCTCATCAGTGATTTATTTTCGTTGATATGAAGCCTGTTACTCTGGTTTTATTGCTGCAGTTAATTAATAGTCACAAGTTCCTTCAAGTACATAGTAAATTATGCTTATGTCAATTTTGTATGTAATTTACTCGAACTAAAATGCATTCACATATGACCTACCCACAAAAAGATCTTCAGTTATTCTTACTAGTCATCAGCTTCATTTTCTAAATGAACAAGCGTGATTTTAGCAATATATGCATCATGTGGATGACAAAAGCATGTGAGATGCACTGTTCAGACAACAGCTTGATCACTGTAACCTGATCTCTGGTAGAGTTTTACCATACTTGTGTCATGAACATACTCTTCTTTTTTTTATTTCATATGACAATCAGACCAAAAGAAACAAAAAACCCTTTGATGGTTTGAACTCTCTTAAAGGCCATTCACATACATCACGATCCACACTGTCCAAGTTAACTTCATTCCTTATGACATAGAGATCCCTTATCAACTAAACCACAAAAAGATACCCTAGAAACAATAATCGACACCGAAGTCAGGTTACAAGATGAAAATTACTGCCCTAAATACACAAAAAGGTGAAAATCGTAACAAACATAATGACAGAGAAATTGCATCCAATGTGTTCGACGAAACGCCTCAAATGGCAAGAAGAGATGAAAGCAAAGTTTAAGAACAGAGAGTGGAGGAAAAGTGACCTCAAGCAAGGCCTGGACTTGGTCGGCCGTCACCTCGCCGGCGGTTGACTGTTGTGCGGGCGTGTCCGTCGCCGTGCCCATGAAACCTCACTTCCCCTCGCAGCACAACAGATGGCAGGAACGAGGCGGCTGCTGCTGCTGATATACCTATCCACTGACGACCGACAGGGATTATATAGAAAACAGGTCTAAGCTCACTGCCCTGTGACCTATGATACGATGACCGGAAGAGAAGAGGGCCGGAGTTGGACTTCGAGCTTCCCTTGGATGCTTGTGATCAGAATATCGAAGGCGGGGCAGAGGAAGGACGCAGGCCCAGCTGGTCTCCCCAAAATGCATAGAAGTGGAAGAAAGGCGCAGGAAAGCAGCATTAAAGAAAGATCTAAATGAGCTTTAAAGAGAGGCGGCGAGAGCCACGGATTCCAAGGCCGAGCAACGACGATACCCTAATTTTAATTAGGGGTAAATAAATAATTTCACTATATAAAGAAGCTTACGGTTAGCCACAAGGGAAGGAGAGAGCCGCTCGGGTGATCATCACGAAATATCGAGGGATCCCATTCCTTTTGTTTTTCTATCTTTCGTAAAATATTTTATTATGAAGGAAACCTTTTTATTATATCTGATAGGCCACATTTCGTTATCGCTCACGTGGACCTAAATAAAATGGACACGACGATACAGACGTGAAACTTCAAGTCCAATGTGAAATGAGCATATACGTGATGAGCAACCGCTTGTCACCCTCTTCGTACAAACAATATTATCACGGTACAATCATCCTGGAAAGCTCGAGGCAACGCCACGTGACGTCGATCCATGCAGATCGATCGACACTTACATAGAAGCTTAAACCAGTCGCTCGAGAAGTTGGTCGTAGTTAATTGACCTCGTATGGTCAACTCATCCTTACATGTATAAAAGCTAACCCTTCTTAATCAGGAAGGGGAGGACTTTCGCGCATTCAACTCATTCTTATTTCACTATACGCTAACTTAAGCTTCGGAGGAGTCGAGTCAAAAAATCTCCCTCTCAACCTCGACCTGTGTGTAAGGGTTGACGACGAAGAAGTAGGCAACAAGACTCATAGCTCAACCCGACTCGACTCACACTTTTGTTGGAAAAATACGATAAAGAAGAGAATGAAAATACTATAGAAACAAATAACAAACACAAGATCAAGAATACTTTAGAAAATATATTTAGGCTTGAAACGTGTATAAATATTTTCCTAAAAACGATATTTGTACCCTCTGCTAAATAAGATTGCTATGGGTTTGATGCAAATAGTTTTAGTAGATATGATAAGCCTTTATAAGATCTATACTGAGCAAACAATAAAGAATCTTCAAAGAGGAATTAGATAATATCTAATTCAATTACTTGAAGAGTAAAGAAGAAGAGTACGAAAGAGATGTATTCATTATTTACCCTCAAAAGACAATCTTTGAAAAATAACTACCAAAATAACTAAAAAAAATCACCTTTTTAAATAAATCTTTTGATTTTTTTTTAATTTGAACAATTTATAACAACTTCTGCTACCCCGAGTCTACGTGTGGGTGATCTTGTACATCCGGAATCGGATCAAGCCGAACTGACTCCTCGGTCACGACGTAGAAGTTCACTAACAATATTTTCCTTAAAAATTTTACTATTCTTTCTTTCTCTCTCTCATTATATGTATTAATTTTTGAAGTTTTGTAGAATAATTTATTTCATGATATATGAATATGGAGTTGCATTCAGTTTTCCTTTATGTTATTTTGAGTTCAAAAATTTGAATGGTGTGGTAGATATATTTAAGAAAATTATGAGTAGTCCTTCTAGCACTAAGCACTAGTAGATTCTAGCTAATCATTGATATCTCAAGCAGAAGGGCAACACTCCAACTATCGTGTGAAGAATTGAGGATGAAAATAAACCTACTTAGTTTTAGTGGCTTAGAATCCATTTAAGTCCACAAAAATGTTACATGATACATGGGATGACATTTAAGTCCACAAAAAATGTTATCCAAATTTTATATAAGGAATTATTATGTATATAATATAATATAACATATGATATGAAAAAAAGATTAAAAAATATATATGACATGTGATATGTAGAAAAATATTATCATTTTACAAATAAAATAAATATTTAAATTAGTATATATTATATTTGATTGCTTTTTTATAGCAATAAATAAAAATTCTAAATAATTTATTGTGAGTATACCAACGGTATGGTATACAAGTCATACATCTACACATACTTTTCATGATTATGCCAATATGATGGATCAAAGTGTTGTTCTGTGTCGAGGTTTCGAGAGTGAGAGCACAAGAACAGGATACACGTTCAACAGGGAGCTGCAAGGCACCTGTGTTGCGTCATAAATGAGACCAATTTATCTCTTTTATAAGAATATTTTTTGCATAAACAAATCTGCAGTAATTCATATAAAAAAATATTATGACGTCGAATAAATGCGAGGAGGAGAAGAAGATCAAAGGCGGTCCAAAAGAATGGGAGGAGGATATATTTATTTAGGAGGCTTTTTTTGTTAGCAACGGCATCTGCATTCGAGGGAGAGAGACAGAGAGGGGAGAGATGGAAGGGGCGGGGTTGGCGATGAAGCCGGTGATCAAAGTCGCGGCTCTCTGTGGCTCCCTCCGCAGGGCTTCCTTCAACCGCGGTCTCATCCGCTCCGGTAAGCCACCCTCCCCCTTCCTCTCGAAAGTCGTTGATCCTGCTTCCCTCTCCCTATTATTGTTGTTCTGCAGCCATCCAGCTGTGCGACGAGTCCATCGAGGGGATGAAGATCGAGTACGTCGACATCGCGCCCCTCCCCTTCCTCAACACCGACCTCGAGGTCGACGGCAAGTTCCCCGTGCCCGTGGAGGCCTTCCGGCAGAGGATCCGCGGAGCTGACGCCTTCCTTTTCGCTTCCCCCGAGTATAACTACTCCTTCACCGGTAACGTACCTACGCTGTAGCCCGTTTGATTGTTGTGTAGATCGCCTTCTCCGATAAGGATGTGTTCTCTCGTTTGCGATTCTTATGCTTGGACTCCGGTTAATTATGTAAATTGTTCGTGAATTGACTGTTTGATGCCACTTTGACGAGCCTGTCATTGAACCTTGTTGGTGAACTTATGCGCCGTCTTTTGGGAACGCGTCTCTTGGTTGATCGGAAGAAGTGCTGTAGCCGACTGGATCAGGGGTCGGGTCGGTGATGCCGTCTTCTGGGAACGCGTCTCTCGGTTGATTGGAAGAAGTGTTGTAGCCGACTAGATCAGGGGTCGGGACGCTGATGCCATCTTCTGGGAAGGTGTCTCTCGGTCGGGACTGCCGTGCCTCCAGGAGTGGCTGAGTTCCTGCACACAGGCCCTGGTCGGGGGGTTCCCGACTTGGGCCCCTCGTAGATTAAGTCTGTAATCTCTCTTTCGTCCCCTGGCCAGATGCCGGTAAGGGGTTTTTATACTGTTGCCCGAGGATCGATCGTACGCGGATTTGGCGTGGTGGCTGATCCCCTAAGTGACGAGACGGTACCATTGTGCGGCCGCCGCCTGGTATGCACGGAACGATGCCATGCGGTGCCGTCCTGAGCTTTCCGGGACGAGACTCGTCGAGGGGGCGCCTCCCTGTACGGGCTTCGGCTCGGTACGGGGAAGCACCCCTCATGCTGACTTGGCAGGGGCGTGATGTGGCGTGGGTCGTAACGTGGCAGGGATCCAAAATATGCCTTATCAAACCTTATTTAATTTTCTTTGTAGAACTCAATCATCTCCTTGATAGCACTAAAGAAAAATTCCTATTGTGTTTATTTTATGCGAAATCATAAATTTTAGCAAGAAAACATTTACTCGCCCTCTTGTATGCCTCCATGATGTCCCGCTGCTCTAATTGGCCCATCTAGCTGATGTTGTCTTCTTCGACGAGGTTTCCTTACCATCAAGGTTTACAATCTCGGTACTACACCGATAGTGAATCCTGTCGACTGTTATGGTACCAGAATACCGGACAATTTTACCGATTTGTATCATCCTATATAATTGAAAAAGGAATCAGGAAATTAATATTATTTGCTGCCGAGTCATATTTTGTGGTTTCCAGTCCTTGGTCATGGTCTGATCGATATGTATATGTACTGATCCAACTGGTATTTGAATTCTTGATTTTTCACAAAGGTGCCCTCTTGTTTTCTCCTCCCAACTACTCTCTGCACATTTTAATGTGATTTCTCTTGTGGTTGTACATAAGAAGTACACAGATGGCACATTATGTATATGTTGAGGAAACATGTGACCTACATGGTCCACGTCTTCAGCAGTGAGGCACCTTTTACAGGAATGAAATGTTGGAACCATGGGTTAGGGTCAAGGTGGATAGAACGTCACACATGGACAAGACAGAAACTTCAAACAATTTCTACCAATTTTTTGTATCATTATCAGGTTCCATGATTGTATTTCCATGATTGTATAGCCTTATTTCATTTTTCTTAATTTTGCTGTCCTGTCCAACCTCTATCATTACCTTGCAATCCATGCTTGAGTTCAATTTTACCAGAACCAAGAAGTCAACTTTTACATTCTTTCCTAATGAAATTGATATTATATAATAGCCACCTTCCTTTTTTTATATAGTCTAAGTACCTTGTTTAAATTATTGCAAGATACAGTTTTGTGAAGTGGCTTTATGAAGTCAATATTAAATTATAGTGCTGTATTGGTTAAATCTGTAGCTGTCAATCACAGCTGTAATATGCATACAAAATGCCTAGCCAGAAACTGAACATATCTGACTCCATGGTTGAACGTGGTTTAAATTACCGGTCCAACTGAGCAATGGTATAGAACGATATAGCTCAGTACTCTTTAACGTATCACTCTCCTTTTTTGTCATATTCTTTTAGTGATATTGGATGGCACACATTGGTGTACCACATAGTATCTCAGTACCATTTCAATTCTGTAGGTTGAAACCAATAACAAATTGGTATCTAAAACCTTGATACAAGTGATTTCTGAAATCACTACTTTAACCTTGATTTCTGTTATAGCATATGATTTGATACCAAATCATAGACAATTTCATGTTAAGTTAACCATGAAAAGAAAAATGAAAACAAAGAAAAAAGATTAAGAAAAGGCTTTGTACTTCCACTTGCTTATCTCATCCGTGCATACCCATTTATTATGCATATATATGTGCATCTGTTGGTGCTAGTTTGTGCAGTTGGTTATTTGTCTGACATGCAGTAGATGTTCCTGTTTTTGTTCAGTGCATACCCACTTATTATGCATATATAAGTCAACTAGTATGAGCTTAGATGTTCCTGTTTTTGTTGTTGATGTTCCTTCATGAATCATCTAACATTGTGCCATATTTTTGCTGTGTATGTAGTCAGCATACTACAACTATAATCTTTTTTGTTGCTGATACTCTGAATTTCTATTGGCATATTTAGTTCACAATGTACTATTACCAATTCATCAGGTAGCTATACGGCCGTGAGGACATAAGACAGTCATCATATATTAAATCTTACCCTTCTGCCACTCCGTGCACTCCATATGCTTTTCACATCGTGTGGCTGAAAAAAGGGGACCTTTGGTCCATTATGTTTATTTTCTGAAGCAACTAAAATATAAATTCTATTCTAGTCACTAGACATTTTTGCATAGTTTAGGAATGTGTCAAGTCATGCACCATATTTATCTTAATAGTCTAGATTAAGTCAAACATGGTTATTTCACATAATATTTAATCTTATTTTTAGTGGCTAATTCAGGGTGCATTTAATATCAGAATTTTAGTTTTGTTGCTGCTTATTTGTCATATCTAGATACATATTTGGTTAAAGCTATGATCAGTAGGAATTAAATTCTGAAAGATAAGATGCTTCATTAAATAGGATTTAAAGTTTAAACTTCAGTAGATAGTGTTTAAATTTTAAACCACTTATCTGCAATCTTTCTCCTCTTAGTATTTTCTTGGACTTCTTCAAATTAATTGTTGGGGCAATTGTGTACTCAACCTTTGCTATGTCAACATGTGCCTCTCGAATATAGTCAGTGAATCAGTGGTACATATGAAATGAATTCACATGTGAAATAATCTTTAGATTATTAAATTTCACCAAGTCTTGAATTAATCAACCTTAGTATTATTTGTCCAAACGTTATTTCAGGTGTATCTTTGGTTGGATAAGTTTCTGAGTTACTTAACAGTCAGACCTGAGCAGAGAATACTCTTTGATTATGCCTCTCTTTCTATTTGCTTGTTATTATTGTTTCTCTTTTTGGATACGTATTCCTCTTTGTAGTTCTCATCTTCTTCAATCTCAATTCTTCCTCCAAGCTCTTGTTATGTTATTCATATCAGTCCAAAAGTGATCTAGAAACATCACTAGTGAGTGATCAGCAGATCTCTATTTGCTAGAGTTCTCTTTGGGCTTCAACTAGCAGATTGTGACAAGAACAAATTTGATGACATTTTATGTGGTTGTATGTCTTGAAGTAGAACTTCTACCATGCTGTTTTAGTAATTGGCGTCCACAAGCTATTAGAATCAATTTCTTCAGACTGTAAAGGATGTAATTTTTTGTATAAATCGCAACTCTTGTGATATTATGTCTCAAATTGATTTCTGATCTGGTGAAAAGAATTATATGTATAATTATTTTTTTTAAAAGCACTTAAAACTCATTGTCTAGAAATTAACGGAGGTTTGATATATCAAATTATCAAGAGCACTTTAAACTCATGATATGGAAATAGCACTAGGTTCTCGAGGACTCGAGATGTTGCTTTTCCTCTAGCATCAGTTGTTATTGACCATCTGCATTCACTTGAATCTAGGATTATGTATTTTGGGTAATCCTACTGACCTTTCATGCAATGAGTATCCTCCTTTATGAGAATGGCATCACCACTCCCTTTGGCAGTATATACTGATCTAGATAGATAAGTTATGATGAAATATCATCTCTCTTCACTTCTTTTTATATATATTTAGGTCCTTTGAAGAATGCTATTGACTGGGCATCAAGAGCTCCAAATGCATGGGCGGACAAGCCTGCTGCTATTGTAAGTGCCGGTGGAAATTTTGGAGGAGGAAGATCTCAGTACCATCTTCGTCAGGTTGGAGTTTTTCTGGATCTTCATTTCATCAACAAACCAGAACTGTTTGTCCATGCATTCCAGCCTCCATCAAAATTTGACAGTGATGGAAATCTAATTGATCCTGAGATTAGAGAACGGCTGAAGCAAGTGCTTTTGTCGCTCCAGGCCTTCACCCTTCGTCTTCAGAACAAATGTTGAATTTCCAGATCACAGAGTCATTGGTGAATTGGAAGTGTTTTGTGTTATTTGATTGACAATATTTTGTGGTAAAACCTATGAGTGTTCTTCTTGTGTTTCTCAGCAAGCTGCGCTTGGTGATTTTTTTATAGTAGTAAAATAAACCTATGATTCCCTTAGTTTGTTGTACTGCTTGATAATTTCCAGGGTTTTCAAACATGGAAAGAATTAATCTATTCAATGACATCAGTTGTGAATTGATGCATTTACTGTTTACCATAAAGGGGAACATCTTTGATATCATATCAATATTACTATCTGCCATTTGCATTTTCAGACACTGAATCATTCTCCACATTACTATTTTGTAGACAAGAATTGTAAGTGCCACTTTATTAACACAGTATGACCCATGTATTCCCACATCAATTCTCTTTGTATTATATCTACAATGACCATGCATAGACAACTAATTAGTTTTTCTTTTTGTTCTCCATGTTGTGGTTAGTATGCTATGAATACAGATTAAAATGGTCAGATTTGAGTGCCTTAACTCTAAAGTTTTAGGATCTGCCTTTGCATGGAATGACTAATTTCCGCAATTAATCAGATAACAGACTGTGTTATTATTTTTGCAGTGATAATAGTTGCTTCTGGTTGCTTTAGATCTTAGAAACTAGATCATCTCAGAGTGAAACTAAATCACTTTTCCTTTCCACACTCCTTTTGCCTTTTTTTTCTGGTTAGCCATAGATGAATCAGTTTGTGTGGTAGAGGAAACTGGATTGATTGCTAATTAGCAGGAGAAGCACCTTCTTGCTTTTTAACTGCGCAGAAGCTCTCATCTCTAGTCTTAGCATCATATCCACTTTTAAGGTCCATAAATGTTGATTACCTCATCTAGTAATTTTTATATCTAAAATATCAGTTCTACCAACTTCAGGGTGAGGCTTCCAAACATCACTCCTAAATTTTACACCTAGAATATTAGTTTAGTATATGATCTATAATTTGTATATTTTAAAATATTAGTCTAATATTGATGTGATAGATTAATTTACTAAATATTTAGAGTTTAACATTTTATTCAATATATATTAAAGATATTTGCTAGTGCAAGGATTTTAACTATTAATAATAAGGTTCTAAATCAAATTTTATCTTGACCATTTTCTTGAAAAGAAACTCATGCTTTTATCACTAGAACAAGAAAAATATAATTAAGGTCCTTTACGTGGAACCCTTCTTTTTAGATCCATAAAGAAGAGACAGATTAAGTATGATTAACTGTAGGAAATGTTATGTTGCCTGAGTTAAAAAGATATATTAATACCTAAATCACTCCTAATATTTCATAATCATAATCAAATTATAAAGGATATTAATATCACTTTAAGAATTCTATCTCACTAGCAATTAATAGTTGATTGATAATTTTTTTAGTCAATAAATAATAGGTAAGGAAAACTCTTTCTTTACCCACCTTGTGATACACTTAAATGGGCCCACCATTGAACTGCACCCACCTTGTTATTGGACATTGGCTATGGCAGTCTCAGATGGGACCCAACATTGTTCTTGTCTCTGAATCCAATAACGACGCAGGTGGCGCAAGAAGTAAGATAGGTGGGTAGGAGAAGCATTTGCCGGTACTATTTCCATCAGATTCCACGTAAACGCTCCTTTCGCCAAGTCCATGGGCCGCATATATCCATGTCCGGTTCCCAACTGGGGGCGGGCTGTGGCGAATCCGATGGCGGCGGAACCACCGCACACGGGCGGCGCTGGGCTCGTCGTCGCGAACAATGACACCATCCGATCCTTCCTCGTCTCCACCGCGAAGGACGTCCGTCACCTCCCCGACGAGCTTCGAGATCTCGCTTCCGCTCTCTCGTCGCACAGCACCGTGCCCTATCGGTCTCTTAGGAGCATCTGGTCCGCCCTCCCCCCAGCCGACCGCCCCGCCCTCCGCTGCCTTTTCGCCGGCGCCGGTTTCGTCTTGTCGAGCCCGAAGCCCAGGGAGAAGGTGAGCGCCCGTGAAAGGTTGGATAATTCTTTCTTTCTGACGTAAGGGTCCTGCTCAAGGTTTGAACTCCGTGTGGAAATTGGTAGAGCGAAGAGCTGAAGGAGAGACTCAAGAAGCTCGCCGAATCGGCGGAGAGAAGGGAGTATCAGGAGCTTGTGAAGGACATTGCGCCCAAGAGAGAGGCTGCAGAGCCTTTCTCTTCCTATAAGGATCAGATAGGATTTGGTATTGATCTCTTTTTTGTTCTTCTAATATTTGGAAAATTTTGATATATTTATTCTTCTGAAATTTGACAAATAGAGTTTTCATCTTTATATACATGGTAGGAAAATTTGTTTGACCCTAAAGAGAGGTTTATCCCTAATCTTCTAAGAAACTTTTGTTGCATGTAGCCTCTGAATAATATGATATTAAGGCTCATGTACTTCTTTAAGTGCACCAGACACTCATATAGATTTGTAGAAAAGAAGAAAAATTTATTGATCTAGCTACGTGCCCTGTTTTAGTCATGATAAAAGCTAATGTTCATATGCTCCATGTGGATTAGAAAGCGTAGTTTTCTATAGAATAATTTTTTATGTTTTTGGTGAGGTGTCCATCCCTAGTATCTTAGTTATGCTCATTGGAAAGGTTAAGTTCTTCAAGTATAACCTTATCGACTATGCTATCCAAGATGTTTCACCTATGATGAAAGTTCCATAACCAATTAAAGAGATTTTTAGCAAGTTTTTCCCATAAATTAAGCTGCTAGGGTATCATTAAATTTTCATATTTGTTGTTGAAAAAATATTTTGTCCATAAAAAGCCCTTGCCTATTTGACGCATAATTGGCGAGAAGCCTAGCCTATTTGATGTACTAGGCTAATGCCTGAGCAGTAGCCTAGAAGCCTAGGCGATTGCCCAGGTAACAAGGATACCAAACCATTAATCACCTTTAAGTTGTATATGATTAAAAGTTTTCATACTATTAGAAAGCCATCTATTGAACAGTTTTGTTGTACATAAATGTTCCAAAACATTAGTAAAGTATATTGAATTTGGCTTTGTTTTCTATAAAGAATTTGTAACTTCAACCGAGTTGCAACTTCTTTGAAGCCCAGAATATAAAATGCTAGCCTTCAACTTTTAATGAGAAATAATTGGTTCCGATCTTAATAGGGAAATATTGGATAATTTCCTTATTTGCAATAATCATGGATTTAGTTGATATGTATGGTGCAAATGTCTAGTAACCTAAATAAATTAACCTAGACTTTTTCATGTAGCTAAACATGATCCTGCCTCAACCAGTATGTGCTCCAACAATAGCCAGATGTGAAAGCTAAATTAACTAATTCTCAGTCATTTGTCTTTTTGAATCATTTGTTAACCTTGCAACCAAATATCTGCAACACAATTTGTTTAGGAATGATATTCCCTATACTTTGTTAAACCATTATGCAAAAATGAATTCGCCTTAGCTTTCTGGTTCAGATTGATAATATAAAGCCTAAGTCCTACCAAGTTTAGAGAAAATTGATCAGATGAGTTTTTTTTGGACATTCACAAAAGAGAGTACAAAGGACGAAGAACTGTTAAAGGTTGATTCTTTTTCCTTGCTCAGGTCTACATGTAGTGTTGATAATGTTCACGGGCTATTTGGTCGGTTTTGCTGCTTTCAGAGCTCTATTTAATCATAGTGCTGCACTGGTAAGTAGTCAGAGAAAAAAAACTCTTTCCTTCCTAAAATATTACATGGGTTATTTTTCCTTATCCTTGACAAGTGTCTAGACAGCGTACAGACCTTACAAGTTTACATTTGCAGAATGCAGCTGGAGGCATCTTGGGAATGGTTTGTGGTATGCTACTTGAAACAGTTCTGTTTATATTTAGAACTTCCACCAAAGATGTGGCATCGTCAACCCAACGGAGTAATAAAAGGAAACTTCTATAGCATATGCCATAATTGTCATGGCAATCCAGAGATATATACATTTCTTGCTTATTTGGATGTTATCTGATATCATGGCATGGAAAACTCTACTTGTGTATTCTATTAAGAAGGAGATCTTTTAAGCTTCTGCAGATGTCAGCTGTTGTTGGGAACTGCTATAGAAACCTCTTCATTCAATTCCCAAGCTTAGGTATGTGGCATCGTCAACCCAACGGAGTAATAAAAGGAAACTTCTATAGCATATGCCATAATTGTCATGGCAATCCATAGATATATACATTTCTTGCTTATTTGGATGTTATCTGATATCATGGCATGGAAAACTCTACTTGTGTATTCTATTAAGAAGGAGATCTTTTAAGCTTCTGCAGATGTCAGCTGTTGTTGGGAACTGCTATAGAAACCTCTTCATTCAATTCCCAAGCTTAGGTATGTGCCATTTCTTAATGTAGCATCTTTTTTGGGCAAATCATGAGAGTTGAAGTCCTTTGTGATTTTGAAAGATTGTGATAATTTATTATCCTCTTTGGCTGCACAAAGAATTTGTTAACCTTTTCTGCTAGTTGTTATGGGTTTTCCGGCATGTGTTTCTTGTACTCTTTGGACACTCTTTTATGCATCTAGGTTTTTGGATCCAACTCAAGTATCTATTTTTCTATTTAAATATGTCCTTAATCTTATTAAAGAAAACTAAACCTGATTTTAGCTTCTCATTAGGTCCAAGCACTTGAAAGACCCAATCCACCATCATCCCTATCTCACTTTTGTGTTTTTTTGTTTTCTGCTGGAACTCATCTCAACTGCTATTAACAGCATTAAACCTGATTTATGTATATTAGTTGATCCAGTATGTGATCCCTATCTCATAAAACGTCCAAATCTGATTAATTATCTAGGTCTTTAAATCTGTTCCAAACTCGATTTAGGGGTATCCGGAGCAGTTTAAGCAAGTCAGTCGTCCTGAATATGTAAAAAAGGATATGAATCCGAAATTATTCCAACCTTTTTTGTTGCAAAGGCAATTGATGGATTCAATCCCAAAACCTTGTTATCAAGCAAGATCTTTACTAATTGACATCTTCAATTAATCTACAAATTCCTTTTGGGGTTTCTTCTACAAGTTCCTTTTGCCCTTGGTTTGTAACTATCGAAGCAATTTATTCCTTAGGTAATTGCACTGAGATATTTCTGTAGAGGTCTGCTAGGAGTCCTTGTTTCCAAAGCATGAATCAAGAACTCAATTTTTAGCTTAAAGTTTTGGTTGACTTGAAAAAAGACATTGTGAATTCAACAACAATCCAAAGACCATATATCTCTGGACCAATCCTTACCATAACAAAGTTTTAACTGTAACTATGGCAATTTTCTCTTGCTAGGATGCAGTCTACATCTTATTAGATTGAGTGGTCTAAAGCAAAGATTCGAGTCATCAAAATACTCCAAACATTAAGTGATATACGGAGATTGACACAAGAACATTTGGGTGCAATGTCATTGCTATTCCGACACCAAGTCAGATGACCAATCAAACTTGTGTCTTAACATTAAGTGGCGTGCAACATCCTAATTGTAATGTCTGATGGTTCAGGTGATGCCTCATGTTTGGTTAATGCCTGACATTTGGATGAAACCCTATGAAACCGCCCATCACAGTAGTAAAACTATCCATTAAATGCTGGTAGTTACATGAATCACCTATAAAAAGGTCCGAGGTATGATCAGTAAAGGCTTTCGCATATTTGGCATTCACTAATACACTTTGTTCTACAACCATTTTAACTTGAGTGCAGCTTAGTTCTTGTGGATCATTTGATCAAATCCACTTTAAATCTTGACATTGAACTTGTGAAGAAGGTGGTCCTGAACTGGGTTGACTTTGTAGCACTCCCTAACGTGTCAGACAACCAAAATCAACATTAACATTATGCATCTACAAAGTCTAGATTTCCAAGAAATCTTTTTCCTCTGGTTTCTTTTGCTTTGTGTTGGTGCTCCTGTGCAATAAAAAGATGCACGCCAACTCAAACCTGTTACTGCTGATATTTCCATCACTCTCCTGGTACAAGAGATCAGAAATTACAGTTTTCAATCATGGAGTAAAGCTTGAATCAAGGATAAGATTAGAATCTTTGCGAGTGTAGCATCATTTTAGATCCTAGACAACTCTTTTCCCTTGAAGGTTCCTTTTTTTCTTTTGTTATCAGGATTCAGGGAACAATTATGGTCATTTTAGCTATGAATTCAAACTATAAGAGATCTCAGCATGAAGCTTTATCCGTTAATGCATAATTTTATTCTCCACTATTTACATTCCTGGTTCTTGATATCTTCTATTACCGCAAAAATGGCATTATATGGAGGTATGATCGATCATGTTAATTTTCTGGCAGCACTCAAAAGGACTTTATAAGGAATTAAGAAGCATCTTCCTCTAGGTAATGAAGTTTTTTTTTTTCATATCACATTTAAGCTACTGCTAGAGAATCTTAGTCTTGTCCTCTCAGATAAAACTTCCTCATCCATGGCCTTTCTCTTGTTGCTCATGTTGTTATTATTGCTGCTACTGATGATGATGTGGTTGGTGTTGCTGTTTTCTTCTTGGTGAAGCTGCTGCTCTTTATGTTTCCCTTTTAGTATGTGAGGCCTGAGTCTTCTCATGTCTGAGAGCTGTACTGGTTTCAGAAAGAACTCTTCTGCTCCTTCTTCCAAGCATCTGTGAGCAGTTCAAATACAAATCAATTCCATCTTAGATGTAAAGTTACAGATCTCATCATATCAAGTTTAGAATATTGAGCAAGATACGGATATGTTTGACTATGCTGCAGAAAGGACTGGATATTTCTGTAAATCCTTCCATGATTTGACCACAGAATAGATTACACCTAGGCAACTTTCCTATTACAGAATTTTTTTCTTGGGGAAAAAATTCCTAGGACCACAAGTTTCTCAATCAGGGCAAGCAAAGAGATTAGACACATCTAATTTATGAAAGGAACCCTTATCTGCTCTTCTTTCTTTTGATCTTTGAAAGTTATTGAGAAAAATCAAATCTCACCAATTCACTTGGTGAGAATATCTACTATTTGACCCCATCACATCAGAATGCAATTCCTTCATTCATGGACACTAAAAAGGCATCTTTCTGGCTAACTTTTATATCATAACATCCATTTCAGAATGTAATGTGGAAAATCAGTTGAAGAGTAGCAGCAATTTCTGGATCAGGAATTGATGAATCTCTTTTCTTGAATTTTGATTTTCTTGGTGTCAGGAAGATGTATTAAAGATTCCTCTGAACCTCTGAAGAATTCTTCTTCAATTCTCTGACTGAATTAACTGAAGTTTATGCATTATATATTTAAGATTTTAATCCAATCTAGGTGCATCAATAGAAATCACAAGTCAAGCAAGTTTTCTAAGAGAAGTCAGTTCATCTTGGTAAGTATTGCCACCACAAGGAAGGAATTTACTGATCATTATTCCTCTCACCTGTTTATCCTGGAAGGTACATTTTCAGATGACATGATCACCACTGGGATGTCCTTCAAAGATGATGACTCCTGATATCAGAGCAAGAGAAGAAGCTCCTCATAAATCTCTTGAAACAATTCCATGAGAACAAAATGTGCATGTTGGAGATATGAACCAAGCATCAACTGTTTACCTTGATCTTTTTGAGGAGGTCATACCCTGTCATCCCAGGCATGCAGTAATCTGTTATTACCAGATTCACCTCAATCTCCTGTAAGAAGAATCACAACCATCACAGTTTCATCAGAGACACACAAAAGAAAAAAGGTAAAGAACATAAACAAGAGGATCCATGAGAGAGAAGAGACCAAGTGGATTACATTGTGTTCTGGTGAGAGAGCTGGTGTGCTGGTCTGGTCTTCCTTCAACCCCAAGACTTCAAGAGCCTTGCTCCCAGAATCCACAGTGGTGACTGCAACACCACCATGAACATGTTTGAGATAGAAGAAGCCTTAAGGCACAAATCAAGGATTGCTAGTTTTGGTACCTTGAAAGGAAGATGTCTTGAGGAGCCTCTCAATGAGTTTTCTATCCAAGAGGCTGTCATCCACAGCCAGGACATGGAACTGAGCTTCTGCATCCACAGCCATGGACTTCTTCTCCTCCCCACACAACAACAGTTGCAGCAAGGGCCAAAGAGGTGGAGAAGATGCAAGCAGAAGAGGTGGATGGAGCCTTGGTTTCTGCCTTGCCTGGTTAACACCTTCTCTCTGTCTATAAGCCAAGCAAGGTAATGAAATACAAGTCACCTTCTAACCCACCAAATCCCACCTCATGGGAGGCAAGATCTGACCAAATATCACACAAATCTCCCCATGTCCAAATCTCTCTCACTTCACAATCTTGTACTGAGGACTCGCATATCTCCTGATTCCTCAAAGTTATGAGATTGGTGAGGATAGTGTGAGAGGGTGAGATGGGGAATGGAATTAGGGGGGTCCCAAGGGACAAGTTAGTGGTGAAGGGGTTTTATTATGCTGGTGCTGGCTTCAGAATTAGGTGGCAGTGGTGGTGGTGGTGCTGGTGGTGGTGGTGCACCACATAATCCTGGATTGTGATACTCTCACCTCACCTGGGCCCCACTCTTTTACACCATCCCATGCCACACCTGTCTGTGAGGCAATTCCATGTGACCTCCTCAGATTTGCCTCCTAAGCACATCTCCCTTTCTCTTTCCATCCCTTTCTTTCTCTCTCTCTCTCTCTCTCTCTATATATATATACACATATCTTTTGATGGTCCAGTTTGCCACAGGATTTCAATTTAATAAGCAACCAAATCTTTGGACAACCACTTCCTGTATCTTCACAACTGATATCAATAATTATGAAAGGGATGCAATATCATGCACAGTGGGTACAACTGGTACATCTCAATGTCTGGCATACTTTGATGGCATAAAGAGTACCAAATCTTTAGAGACCACCTTCTGATATCAATAACAAGAAAAGGCATGCAGCCCATGCATCATGCACAAGTAGGAAGATAACTGAGAGACTTCTCAAGCTCTGTAAAAAACTTTGTACCATAAGAATGGGTCCTTAATAACAGCAGCATTTATACATATAACCAACCTAATTGTAAGCTGGCAATGTTTATGGTTGCCTATCTAGTTTTAAGTTGAGGAAATGAGAACTCAAATAATTGGCAAAAATTATAAATTATAAAGGATATTTTAGGTAGTTTAAAAGTTTCTTTTATAAAAAAATTATATGGTAACCAATCAAGTGTTGACTGTGTAAAATTCTCTTCTACTGTCGGTTTCGATCGCTTTTATGATACTATTTGATGGTCCACATCCGCTTTATTTATCTATTACTGTATAAATTGAAGCTTCAAGGGAGGAAAAAAAAAAAGGTGATCTTATAATTATGTGAAATGCCAAACATTTAGAATCTCTTTTTGCATTATTGAAAAACAAAAATTTCTTTTCAATGGGGACATCTCATCAGGCAAACCTGTCTTTTGTAATCATCATGTATCTTACAGAAAACAAAAGTGAAAGGTAGATTGGTTCTTGGTTGATCCTAGAATTGTTATCAGGATTTGTTGTTGCTTCTATTGCTATAATTCTTGAATCCTGTGATTGGAACATCATAAAAATATGTTTTTTTTAAAATAAAAATGTTGATACTTCAGTAACAAAGTGTTTGTTTTGTTTCACCAATAAGAAGGCTCCGATACCGATGAAGATTCAAGTTCTTAAACTGGAAGATGATGGAGTTTGATGACTACTTAAAGGTGATGGTTGGTTCATTGCAAGGTGGAAAGGGAAGATAAGTTACCTGAATTGACTTAAAATTTTGATTTTCTGAATGATACATTTTGATATTGATTACTACCCTTTGTGAAAATAATAAGTCATAGGAAAGTAAGACTAATAATCAGAAGAATCAAATGAATAGAACTTTAGGGTTACAATGATCTTAATGCTCCTTCATCATATAAAATACATAGTTGAGGGTTTGAAGCATTTAGTGAAGCATAATTTGCATATAGTGAAGCATTCCAAAAGCTTCAACCTTTTTTGAGATTTTACCCCAACATATAATTGCTCAAGTTAAATCAAGATATGCGTACTACATAGAGCCAAATAGATGTAACCTGTGCCACATGACCCATTCCAAGCAATAATCTATGGCTCCAACTTCGTCAAAATCAATAATCTAAACAGGTCAAGCTCAACATGTATAGGTTTAAGGTTTACATCTCTAGATTTTTCTCTCTCTGTCTTTGGCTTTATTTTGACTTGTAAAGTTGTACTATAACAAAGGATGGGAAATCCACTCGAAAAGGACAAGTGTCATTGAAGTAATCAAGCTCAATGGATCTACAAACATACCATGGGCCAATGCAATTAGTGTGCATTTGATATATAGGAGAATGGAACTTATATAAGGTTGGGGTGCAAAGGAAGGAGACATGAAGGCAATCAGCCACCTTTTTTTAGGTGTTAGAAAGAGAAGTGACTACAAAGTATATTTGGTTAGGAAAAAGAAAGAAAAGGATGGTGGTGATGATCCATACCATCCTTTTCATTTGTTAGCATAAAATATGAAGAGATTGAATCCATCAGCACAATAACATTATAATTGATTAATGATACAACAATATTTACCAGAAAAACAAAAGTCCTTAGATACAATCATTTCTATTAACTCTATATTGTAACATAAGTACAAAAAAACAATGGTGTTCAAACTTTTAAATTGGAAACACAATTGAGTATATATAAATATATATAAACTTTTAATTCTTTGGTTCGAGTTCTCATGGTTGGCTTGCTCAACTTTTGATCCTTGTTCTATACAAAACTCACTCCTAGAGTGTCTGATAAAGTCATAAATGACTTCCATATCTATTTGAATGAGAAAGTAGTCGAATGTCGATCACGTTATAGATTCAGATTGAGACATCGATGCATGTTAAACTTGCTTTCGAGTCATCAAACCCTTGAATTTTTAGATATGATATGATCACTTCTCCCCATCAAGCTATCTTGACTTTGCAGGTATGCCTTTAGCAACTTGACACTAATTCTATAACTAGATTTAGTCTCACGTTAGAAGTAAGAAAAAAAATTAAATAGGTTTATAAGGATTAGACAGATCTATTGTTATTAATTCAAATTTAAGTATTTTGGATAAATGCTTCAAACTCAATAAGTCAATGAGTTAGTCAGCTCATCAAACAAATGTTGTGCGTAGTAACAGGTTCAAGTAAAAAATAATTTAAATTATAGACGAAACCAAAGGACACATTATTATTTTATAAAGTCATCATTTAGTAGAGTCTCATGTCGAAGACTTAAAAAATATATTGCTATCAATTTGAGCTTATGTAATTTATAGTATTAGTTCATATTCCAAACGAGTTAATAAGCCATTTAACCCATCATATTCCTTATAAATCAATTTAAATCTTCACTAAATTATGATATTACAAATTCAATCGCATATGCATGAACAACATATGTCAAATTTTAAATCACAACCATGATGTCTTGAGTGTTCCATCTAACAATAATTCATCTTTTCAATCGACATCTACTTAGATTAGACACAATGACATCTAAATTGTCTCTAAAAGTCAATATCATTGACTAGTGAGGGGAATCAAAAGGACATAATAAGATTGTCATGATAAGACATTCAACATAAAACCAACCCATTTAATAATTATGCCAAAAAAATTTAAAATACAAACAAATAATTATGCCACATGAACTCGGCATGTAATGATATAATATGCATCATGGACACATCATAGACGTTGGGGTTTAAAGCTTCGGTGGACCTTTCATGCATGTGATATGTATGCATGACCCTCCTTGTCCCCACCTCCATGGGGATGGCTTCTCACTGAATCCTAACCTTCTTCGACATCAACAGTGCTGTTTGGGGTCTTCAGATGTCGGCTAAAATGCAGAGTCTGTAAGGCATCATAGTTAAGTAAACCCTTGCCACTGGTGGGAATTAACTTACATAGAATTCCCTTTTTGGATTACAACTCCTTGTTTATATTACATACCTAATATCATGTTTTCATTCTTGCATCTCCAAAGTTTACAGCTGTGCAGATGGTTTCACTCCACGACAGATGTTCATATGATATATCTTCCTATATCTAATACAGCATCTGTTGAAATTTCAGAATACACAAGACTTAATGGCAAAGACAAACCTTGAAGAACTGAAGCAGTGGCATGCAAGGAAAGTCATCTTGCTTCCTGACGTGCAGGAATTGTGTGATTACCCTCTCACGCTGAACTGGCTACCTGCACTCAGATGAAGAGAAACTGAGTTAGTGATGACTGTAATTATGATGGATAAGCTTATCCTAGATCATTTGTAATCAGATGCTAAAAAAATGCTCTAAATCATTTGTAATTTAATTTGTAGGGATCCATCCTGCTATAACAGATGCTGATCAGAGTTGATAAGGAACCAAATAGAGAAAAAAAGAAGAAAAATACTAGATATTGTCTTCCTCTCATTGAATATCCATTATTATGGAAGCACTTGCATTTTGGAAGTTTATCTATTTCATATTCCAAATATGAAAAAAGTCAAAACAAATAGTGAAACAGAACAATCGATTCAAAAAGAAAAGAAAAAGGTGGGGAATAAAACCAAAACAGTAGAACTTAACCTCCTGGTGGAGCGGATTCTTCGTCTTACGGAACCATTGTCTTTGTGATCTTGTGTTGCTGATCCTTTGACTTTCCTCGTACTGCATTTGGAAACGCCTACCGACATGTCCATCCACATCAGTTTTCAGCGGTTAACAAACAGTGATGATTTGATGAAATAAAGTATTTGAATCACCTCTGTGAAAGGTTTGTGGAGACTGAACCTCCATACCATCCGCTTCACATTCTCTCATGACACTAGAAAGACAACTTTCCTCTGATATTGTATCTTTGGCTTCGGGCGAACCCTCCTTGGCAGAAACATTTTTATCTGTTGGCATAACAAAAGCTATTGGTTGATTTAGCAGCAAAAATCAATAGAGTACAGAGAACTGCAACAAGCATTGAAACTAAGTTCATGAATATGCCGAGTCAACATTGCAAAATTTATGAAAGTCCAATTAATCATGTTTTTGTCAACCGTCTAAAATTGAATCTGGACTAATGCAGCTTGCTTGTACTAAAAGCTAATTTCGCTGAACTTAATTTCCTTCATATCTTGCACAGTGCATTAATTCCAATAAGCCAATAGGTTACACAAAGATTTTAAAGAAAAAAATAATCATCTTATGCATCTTGTTTTCCATCCTCATAAGGTTTTACTTCAACTACTGTTCAGCATATCACCTGTAGTTGCAACTCTTCATCAAAAGTATTTATAGCTGAAGTAGTAAAGTTTAAAGAACAATGAAGGAATTAAAACCAGTGACAACGTTGAATAAAATTTTAAGAAATTCTAGAAGATATTGTCCGGTGATTACATTCGCTAGAAAGTCCTGAAACAAATTCAGTGATACTGCCAAGTCAATGATTGAATTTGTGAAATCTAATAAACCATGTTTGTCAACCATGTGGAATTAGACTCATGGACTAGCAGACCGTTTGCTCATACTAAAAACCATTCTGGGAAATATATTACCTATACTGTTGGTTCCAACAAGCCTATAGGTTATACAATCCATTTAAAATATCACATGAGAAATGAATTCATTTTTTCATCATTGCGTGGTTAATTGGAGCACTTTCAACTATCATACCACATCACACTTGTGGTTGAGATTCTAGATCAAAAGAATTTCAACAAATAAAGTTGCAAAATCAAAGAACAATGAACAATAAGGGAAAACTGATAAAATTAAACAAAATAGTCATAAACTGTAAGAAGAAATTGGCCGTCAGTTACCTTCACTGGTATTTCCAACAACACTTTTCTCCTTAATTAGGAAACCTTCAAGGCTACCAACTTTTTGTTGATGAACCTGGGCATTTCTAGCGGTGGTTTCCTGTTCCTTTTTCGCTGTATGAATCTTGTTAAGCTTCTCTTCAAATTCCTCAATGCAAGATCTAACCTCAGCTTTTGCAAACTTTTTGCACTGATACGTTATTAAAATATAGCAAGAATTACTCGACATAAATGATTAGCAAGATTGCCAACTTAGAATTCTAGTATAACTTTGCTAACTGGTAATATATTTACCAGAATTATGAGGAAATGAAAGCTATTACCTTGCTGACAATGCTTCTGAAATGATCCATCACCAAATCATCACATAAAGAATGTTCATATGCTTTAAAAGACCCAACAAGCTTTTTCAATCCCTTTTCACTGAATGTCAACTGGGAGAGGCAGTAAGCAATATGCTTCCACTGTTTAACATCTGTAACAAAAACAGCTAGATTCCTCAACAGTATTCAGAAATAACAGAATCAGCTCAGAACACAAGGACAACCATTAAACAATTTTTTTCTAAGTAAAACTCATTTCATATACTGTCAAAATACCATAAATTTATAATGTAAACACCATCTAAGAAAAAGATTGTAGGACCACAGTGCGAGGCAACCATATTTTAAAACTTAATGTCTCCATCATTAAACATTTGAGAAGCACATCAACCCTTAAATTAAACAATACAAACAAAATAACTAATCAATCATGTGCAATCTAATGGTTGCACTGATCTGCAATGCAAGAACTTTGAGCATCTATCATATTTAAGCATAATCAGATATCCGTACATCATGTCAACATTTAATATCAATACAAAACTCTGATATTAAGTGATGGAGAATCATCTAGCTTTACAAAGGATTTCCAAAAAAAATTATTCTAGGCAAAAAATTCAACAAAATGTTATACCTTAAAATTCTAAGAGGTGTTAAAAATTGAAGTCTCATTTTATATTTCTAAAAGGCATACTAATTCCCTAGGAGATTACTCTCAAAATCATTGTTTTTATTGATTATACTAAAGCTCCTAAACCTTTATAAATAGTGGAGCTTGTCAACGGATGACCTACTTCAGATTTAAATAAAAAGAATTACATTTTCTCTAGTTTCTTACTCTCCTATCTTATCTCACACTTCTCTTTCTCACAACTTCCCTATTGTATTCTATATCAATTTAGCATTAGAGCCTATCGAGAAACCTGCCCTACACCTCATTGGACCCCAACTAGTAGCCAGTGATTTAAAAAGGCGCTCGGGCGCTCGCCTAGGCACTCGGGCGAGGCGAGGCGAGGCCCGAGCGCCTCGCTTCATTTCCAAGCAACGCGCTTCAAAGAGGCGCCGCCTGGGCACTCGCCCGAGCCCAGGCATCGAGCGCTTCGAGCGAGCGCTTGGGTTAAACCAAGTGATCGAACCAGCGTTTGAGGTTTGGTTCGGTCTTCGGTGCTTTAGTTGACCATCTAAAGCACCGATATCAGTATGACTTCCCCAACCCTAACCCTACTTGTCGTTCACGCTACTGCCGCCGCTGCTGCTATTGTCGTTCTCGCTGCTACCGTTGCCGCTCCCACTGTCGCCGCTCCCGCTGCTATCGTTGCCACTGTCTCCGCTAGTCGCTTTCGTTGCTACCGTTGCCACTGTCTCCGCTCGCCGTTGTTGCCGCTCCTGCTATCGCTGCTGCCGCTATCGTCGTTCGCAATTGCCGCTCCCACTCTTCTCAGTCAACACCCTCGGTCTTCCGACTCTTCCCTTATACGCTTCTCCTCTTTCGATAGTATACTGTTAATAGTATACAGTGTACAGTTAACAGTATACTGTTAACTATATACTAGTAATAGTATTTGTATTTATTAGATTAATTTAATAATATATTTTTATTTAAAAATTTAAATAATTATATTTATTAATTATATTATATATTTTTCATATTTTAGCGCCTCACTTCGCTCGGGCGAGCGCCTCGAGTGTTTTTGGACCTTGGTGCCTTTTGGCGCCTAGCGCTTTTTAAATCACTGCTAGTAGCTTCAATCTACAACGACGTCACTCACAGATCCTTGCACCTCTAACGTCAATCCCTTGTGTGTGGAGTTCAACTTTGGGGTGACTATCCCTACGGAATTGGTGGACCACTTAGCTCTCGATGCTTGGTAATTTTTAAAAACTTCTCTAATATTTCTATTTAAAAATTTATTAGATCATGGTTTTATCACTTCTCTACCAATAAGAGAGATCCACTTAAATCATTGCATTTCTACCTTGTACATTGTAACAATTAACAACCTCATTACCAAAAGGCAATTTGTAGATAGTATTAGAATCATGACTACGTAAGGTGAAAACCAAAACAATCCTGATAAATCTCAAAACCAACAAAGTGATGTAGACACCCTTAGGACCAAACTAACAAATCATGACACAATATTAAACCAATTATGTGACCAAATAACCCAAGTCCTAAGAGTTGTCTAAAGCCTCGAAAAACGACTCATGAATAAGGAGATTGATGAGTCGATAAGACAACATATTCATTCTCCACAATCCATTGCTTCAAATCAGTGATTTAAAAAGTGCTAGGCGCCAAAAGACGCTAAGGTCCAAAAACGCCCGAGCGAAGCGAGACGCTAAAATATAAAAATATATAATATAATTAATAAATATAATTATTTAAAATTTTAAATAAAAATATACTATTAAATTAAGAAAATTAATAGTATTAAAATTAAAATAATATATTATTAATCTAATAAATATAAATACTATTATTAGTATACTGTTAACAATATACAGAAGAAGAAGAAGGAAGAGGAGTGTAAGGGGGTGCTGATTGAAAAAAGAGGAAGCGGCAGCGAGAGCGGGAGTGTAAGGAGGCAGCGGCAACAGGAGTGTAAGGAGGCAACGGCAGCGGGAGCAGGAATGTAAGGAGGCAACGACAACAATAGTATAAGGAGGCAGCGACAACGGGAATGTAAAGAGGTAGCGGCAGCAACAGCGGGAGTGTAAGAAGGCAGCGAGAATGGGACTGTAAAGAGGCAGCGACAGCGGGAGCGGGAGCGGCGATAGCGGTTGCGAGCAGCGACAACGACGAGTAGCGAGCACGGGAGCAACAACGAGCAGGGTTAACCGATTAGGGTTGGGTAACGACAGTTGATATCGATTTTAATTGGTTTGATTGAACCAACTAACCACCGGAGAACGAACCAGACCTAAAATCCTGGTTCGGTCGCCTGGTTTAACCCAGGCGCTTGCCCGAAGCGCCTAGCACCTAGGCTCGAGCGGCGCCTCTTTAAAGCACGTCGCTTGGAAGTTTAGCGAGGCGCTCGGGCCTCGCCTCGCCTCGCCCAGGCGCCTAGGCGAGCGCCTTTTTAAATCACTGCTTCAAATCAAAGAATTTTATCTACTCCCTAAGCCCCTATTCGAACAAATACTAGGTCCACCTATAGGGCACTTATTCAGAATCATGCTCCAACAATTTCTGATGATTAAACTTTCGACCTTAATGATAATTTCCTAGAACCTATTAGAAATCCAAAACTCAAGTAATGGGCCAACGAGTTCGGTTTGCTAACAATTTAGGGGAAATGCTAGAAGAGTTAAAGTGGATATGCCAGACTTTAATGGTAGGTTTGACACAAATGTATTTGTTGATTGGTTAGATAACATAGAGGATTACTTTGAGTAGTATAGAATGATTGATATCAAAATTGTACGATTTACCAAAAAAAAAAAATGGTAGGATCCATTAGGAAATATTGACAATATATCCAAGTTAGTCTTGAACACCATCGAGAGCCTCCCATCACTCAATAAGAAGTCATGAAATAAAAACCTAAGAAAAAATATATACCAACCTACTTATAAAGCCAACTGGTCAAATAATTTTTAAATCTTAAATGATTGAATTTGAATGTGACAGAGTATTTGACCTGATTTAAGAAACTTTTACTTATGTGTCAAATAGAAGAGGACCAAATCATCATTGTTCGAAGATTTATTAATGGGTTGAGGTTTAATATCTAATGAGATGTTTTCCTTAGTTTTTCCGACACCATGAAGGAAGCTTCTCGATAAGCCCTTGAGATTGAGCAATGCTTCAAACTTTATCCAACTCATTGAACATTTTCTCAGTCTCTCGACAATAGAACTATTTCTCAACCCACCCCAAGTAGTGGCCCTATGAAGCCAAAAATCACCACTATTAACAATAGTCCTGACCCAACCATGAATAGTCCAACTCCTTCAATCATTTATTTTCAAACTAGTTCATATTGAATCATTATTGCCAATAATAAAGGTATCTCTCGTTGTCCTTAATGTACCTTTACCATAAAACAAGAACTAGAAGATCAAATCGAAGAAGTAGACTAAGTAGTTAAACCTTTAGCCTACTTAGGTGATAAAAATGAACTAGAAATTAAAGATGCTCATGTCAATGTTGTTTGCATTATTCTCTCTAATGCTATTGATTCCAAAGAATGGAAGAAGACAAGTATCTTCCATACTTTTATCCGAAGCAAGAAGAAAACTAGCAACTTGGCTATAGATGAGGGTAGCACTGTGAACGTAGTCTCAAAGTCTACTATCCAAAGACTAAAACTCAAGGTAAAGTCACACCCAACCCTATTAAAAGTAACTTGGTTTGACAAACCACTTTACCCGTGATCGAAAGATACATAGTACAAATTAAAATGAGCGATTACCAAGATAAGATTTATTATGATGTCCTACCAATAGAAGTTACCCACATTGTTTTAGGTCAACCTTGGTTGTATACCTTTGATGTTACCGGTCATGAAAGAGAAAACACCTATGCCTTTCGAAACAAAGACAAACCATCATCTTACGACGTGCAAAACCATCAGAAAAAGATAAATCAAGAACTCCTAAGTCTCTCCCATAAACCCTAACCACCAAGGGACTCCACTTGCTAGATCCTAAATCTTTTGAAATAGTATTATGTGATCATCATTGCTAGAGAAATTTCTAGTCATTGCACTATTCTTGAACTAACTCTTAAGGTTAAATCATTATTAGATAGATTTTTAGATGTCATATCCTCGGAATTACCTGGTGAGCTGCCACCCTTGTGAGAAATAAATGTTATTGACCTTGTCCCAGGAACATAGCTCCCTAGACCCATACAATAAAATGAATTCTAAAGAAAAAGTCGAGTTAAACAAGCAAGTTAAACAACTTTTGGCTAAAGACTTTATGAGACAACCTTGGTCCTTGCATTGTCCCAGCCTTGTTAACCCTTATGAAAGATGGGTCTTGGAGGATGTGTGTCAATAGCCTTGCGATCAACAAAATAACAATCAAGTGTTATTGCTCGAGTCCTCAACATGAGGATATGCTAGATCTTCTCGCTATACCTAATTGGTTTTCAAAACTTGACCTAAGAAGCAAATACAACCAAATTTGTATTAAACCTAGTGACGAATGAAAATTAACATTCAAAACTCAAGATGACCTATACGAATAGCTAGTCATGCCCCTTGGTCTATCAAATTCCCTAAGCACCTTCATGCGCTTCATTAACAAAGTTTCACAACCCTACATAAGCAAATTTGTTATCATATACTTTTATGACATCTTGATCTTTAGTAAAAACAAAAAGAATCATTTAGAACATCTTCGATAGATTCTTACTACCCTTCGAGTCGCTAAGCTCTATGTGAATCTGAAAAGATGCTCGTTCATGTTAACTCAGGTCCTACTCCTAGGCTTCATCATTTTTGCCTAAAGTATTGTCACTGATTCAAAAAAGATCCCCATCATTTTACAATGGTCTGAGCCTAAAACTTTTTTCTAAGGTTCGAAGTTTCCATGGATTAGTTTCTTTCTATAAGAGATTCATTAGAGGTTTTAGTTCTATTATGGCACCTGGCACTTATCACTAATTGTCTAAAGAAAGATAAGTTTTCTTGGATCTTGGCGCTACCAAAGCCTTTGCTGATATCAAAACAATAATAACAACAACTCCTGTTCTTAGGCACCTTTACTGTAATAAATCCTTTAAGGTCATTTGTGATGCCTTTGGTAGAGGCATAGGAGGAATTCTAAGTCAAGAAGGTCAGCTTATCGTCTTTCCAAAGAGAAACTCAATGATGCAAAACAACATTTTTCTACCTACAACACAGAATTTTACACAATTGTACAATGTCTTATATATTGGCAACATTACCTTCTATCACAAGAGTTTGTCTTGTTGTCTGACCACTAGGTCCTAAGATACTTGAATGCCTAAAAGAAATTAAATGCCCAACATGCCAAGTGGGTTAAATTTCTTAACAAAAACTCTTTTATAATTAGGCATTGTTCTAGCTCTCAAAACAAAACTATTAGTGCCCTTAGTCGAATTTATACAATCATATCATGAGTGTCAAGGTTATAGGATTCAAGCGATTAAAAAAAAGTATATCTAATGTCCAAACTTTACTCACATCTATCGAGAAATGCAAGATGGAGATCATCATAGACACATTTGAAATTGTCCTCAACATACTCTTCAAAAACCCATTGACCTTGCACCCCTTTCACTTAACTATCGTGCCTCAAAAACCAGCCTACTCCTTTGCTTAATATATTCATGATTTGTATGCTGAAATTCGACATTAAATTGTTATAAGAAATGAAAGTTACAACTTGCTACCAATACACATTGTAAAAGTCAAAAGTTTCAAGTTAGCGATTGTCTTGGTTCGTGTTCACCCTAAAAGATTCTCTAAAAACTCATTCAAGAAGTTGTATACCTGAGCCATTGGTCCTATCCTCATTATCAAAAAACTAAAATTTAATGCACATATGTTCCATTTGCCTTTCGACTTAAATATTAGTCCAATTTTCAATATGAAGGATTTAACTCCAAATCATGGTACTTTTAAGCCTCATTATCTATTTACCAATGTTTCTACATATGGCAATCCTTCCAAAACATTGATTCTCCCATAACACAAGAATAACGTAAAGGCTATTCTTGATAACCGCTTTGTGACGTTTATTACTAGCATAACTCAACACTTTCTTATCAAGTGGTGTGATCATCCCACTTCCGATGCCATTTGGATTATTTTAGAGAAATTTTGTGAATTTGCAGTAGACTAATTGGATAAGTACCTTACAAATCACTCTCAAAGGTTGAGTTCTTTTCTACTAAGGAAGAATGATGGAGAATCATCTAGCTATATAAATAAATTCACAAAAGTTTATTCTAGGCAAAGAAATCAACAAAAAGTCATCACTTAGTTGGCCTAAGAATGGCAAGAGTAGTGTTAAAAATTGAAAAGTCTTTTAGTCTTTTTAGAGATTCCTTTTATATTAAGTGCACTTATTTACTATTTAGGTAGAAATCACATTTTGAATTTCTAAAAGGTATACTAATTGCCTAGAAGATTACTCTTGAGTCACTATCTTCATTAATTTTACTAAGGCTATTAAACCCTTGTAAATAGTATAGCATGTCAATGGATGACTTACTTCAAATTTGAATGAAAATAATTGTGTCTTCTCTAGTCTCTTACTTTCCTCTCTTATCTCACACTTCTCTTTCTCACCCCCTCTCTTTCTCTCTACTTCCCTACTTTGTTCTGTAGAGATGAGCAAATAAGCCAAATCATTGTCAGATTAAGGCCTGGTCAACATGCAAATTTCAACTTCCATTTCAGAGCAAAATAAGTCAAATAAGAGGAAAGAATGGGGACCCAAAGCAAGATTTGTTTTGTTCCAAACAGTCTACTCTCAATGTCAACTTCAAAAAACAGACACCCAGTGACCCTCCAGAATATAAGAAATTCAATCTGTTAGTCATTCTATTACATTACTAATCCTCATGAGCCCACAGCTTGATTTAGGCTGTGCAGAAAAAACAGAAATGTGTGGAAATGAACAGAATAGCAGCCAGCTAGTTAGAAAATGATAAACTAGAATTTGAGGAAAACTTTGTGTTTATATTATCTGCTTGGCATCCAAACCAAATGGACCATCAAACCAATCCATTGAGATACAAAGACTACAAAAAGCTAAGAACAAATTGTTCAATAAACTATTCAAAATATTCAGAGATTTAACCAATTGATTGTGAAGTTCTTCAATCACTTTAATTAACTGTCACCTATTTGTCGAATGAAAAGATGATCTAAAACAGAAACGAAGGGTTTAAGTAGCCACAGCTGGCTGGCTGTGTGGCAACATGACCAACCCAACTCAACCCATCCCAAAGAGCCCAGCCTGTCCTAGTTCAGTGGACACATTTCTAAAAGATGTCCTGCGCTCTATCCCAAACCACCAAGAGCCTAACCCCCTGCTTATAGGAGGTCATAAAAGATTTTCACAAATCAGGATACTAATGTTAGTAGAAAATGCATCCAAAGTTCTGCTTTGAACTCTCAGCCCAAGTTTAAAGTCATGAATTTATCATTATGAAACTTATTGGGATCAGGCAAACAAAAAGATAACATGTGACCTTAGTCCACATGCCCAATCAAAACAAAAGTAAACACTAACATGAACTGTAATTTATCTTGTTGCATCTATTCATGTGAAGATGCATGATACTGACAGAAAAGTGCTGCTTCTTGTTCTTCAATGATGTGTATCATTGGAACATTTTGAAGATTGATATCCACGATATGAAATTTCTTAATTGGCAGGAATAAATATGAGAGAAACAAAAGGATAGACTAAATAATGATTACAGATGCAGAGGCAGCTAAGCATACCACTAACTCCACTGAACCGATTGCATAGCTTTTCAACAAGGGCTTCCATTTGCCTGTCCTGTTGAAAATTATATAGACCAAGTTTTAAAAAAAATGAATAACATGTATCTAACATCACTACAAGCAAGCAAACCTTCTTGATAGAGTTAATTAAGAACTGCATTATGTTGTAAAAATCTTCTTCCTTGATGTTCTGATTGCACAATCTGCTGAGGATGTCAGGAAGTAGATTATATATTGGATTGCTTCCTGCAAAAATAGAAAAGCATAACCAGATAAGAATGAAGAACAGCATGTTATCTATCAGCAAAATCACCAGGCATCATAGTGGAACCTTTCTTTGACAACTCATTAAAGAATAACTTAGCGAGACTTGAGATTCTTTTGTCTTCATCCTCAATCCGTAGAGCCATTTCATATATGTAACCCTTTACCTAAGAAAATCCTCGAGAATAAGTTCAATTAGAGCAGAGGAAAAAAATTTGAAAGGACTTGTAAAGACTCAGCACCTTCATCATATCATTCAATATGAGATGAGACAGCACCAATACAGCATTTTTCCTCACAGATTCTGAAGGGTCTCTCAATCGAGCATACATATTCTCAGTCCAAGGTTCAAGAAGGTTCGGGAAACGAACAGCCAGGTCTCCAAGAGCCACGGTGCAGTTGGAACGAACAGTTTCTGATGAAGCACTCTCCACAACAGTGAACAGAAGCTGAAGATTTGATTCACTAAAAAAAGAATTATTTGACAATCAAATGCATTGCAAGCAGCATAAATTGAAGATGTACAGTATGAAGATACATTCAAGTCTTACCAAAAGTCTGAATCAATTATCATTAATCTGCATAGAGCAAGCATTGTAGAAGCCTGCAGTTCAGGAAACTGAAGTACAGCCAGGAACACAACTCAAGTGAGAAGAGATAAATCTAGCAAACATACAATATTACAATTGTTTACTAAACTATAATGTCACTCCAACCAAGAAGCTCTTAGCAGAAAATTTGAGCTTAATCACCTTTTGCATCAAATTCAAGTTTCTACATAGCCTTGAGAGAAAAGGAGCACAAAATCCAATGAGGTTTTTCTCAGTAGATCCACCAGAAACAATTTCTTTCTCTGCCTTTTCTGATAGTGAATCGATTACTGCATCTTCAGATGCACCAAGTCCCAATTCAGCATTTATACCTTGCATCTGTGATTACCAGAAAAGGGTTTTAAGAAAACCTAATCCTCAGAAAACAGTTTTAAGTCAAGGAATTTTTAAAGCCGAAAATGATCAATGGATTTTTTTCACTTAAGTAACATTCAAATAAAGAAATTCCAGTAACAGAAGTTTCACCTCTACTTCAGCTGAACCACCATTAACCTGTTGCTTTTCAACCTTCAACTTTTCTTTTTTCAATTTTTGCTTTTGAATGCTTCTGATGCAGCTCTCGATATAAACCAATTGATTCAGTGCAATATGGCTTATAATAAAAAGGAATCTGCCAAGCTTTGCTGTAGGCACTGTGGACATGAAGTTGGAGGGTCCAAGAGATACATCGTTTAGCATTTCATCACTTGCAGTGCAACCAAAAACAGAGTTGAGGTACTTCTTCACAATATCAGCAGCAAAAGCTTCAGGCAATGGATGAACTGAATATATGGTGCTTATGGCTTTGTCAACAGCAGCATACCAAATATGGTCCGGAAGCCAGAAACCAGCTACTAAGCTATGTAGAGCAGCAAAAACCTTGCTGCTACTGCTTCTGAGTTTGTCCTTATCTTCCTCAGACAATCTTTCAAGAGCAACACATGCTGTTCTTGCAAGCAAAGGTTCCTCCTTTGCCCAATGTCCAAAACCAATATCAATAATATCCTGTAAATGAGAACCTAGAATGCCTGGATTTGATTTTGCTGCCATACACAAAATTGACAAAGCGCCACGGCTTTGTGCTGCAACTACTCCATTGACATTGAAGATGAAAAAGTCCCATAAGGCTGAGATCTATAGGCAAAAGAAAGACCAAAAAATAATAATGAATAAACTAGTCTTCCCATGGGATGAAAAAAGAAAAGCCAAAAGGATGTTATCTTTAAGGGAAATATTGTGCTAGATATTTTTACTTCACTATTGATAGTGTATTGAACATGTAAACATAATAATATAGACATGCAGGGAAGCATTTATGAACTTAGGTGTAATTGACATACATAAGTTGAGATCACCCAAGAATTATGAAAACACCAACAAGTGTCATGTTTGACCTTGTTCCTTTTTTATCATCCTCGTTTGTGGGGACAAGCTTTATAGATCAAACTGTTGGATGGTTAAAAAAACATATGTAGCTCAGAAGAGAATGTTAATCTACTTAAGAAAATGTTTGTATTTGTAAACAATTAGGTGTAGACCAACAGAAAATGACATGAGAAGATCACCTAAAATGAAATTGATCTAGATGTTGGGGTTAGAAAATGTGACTCAATTAGGATTAGTTGCATGAGTTGAGATAGAAGCAGATATGAGAAAATTTTGCTAGAGATAATTAAGAAAAAGAATGCCCTTGATCGAATAAAGATAATGTTACACTTACACATCCATGTAGTCAAACCCAAAATAGTTGGTAATGACAAAATTTTCAACTCTTATTCAATCACATACCTTAAACAGAGTCAACATCAATCACCAATCACCTACAAACAATTTGTTGCTTCCATTACCTTTACCCTGATTAACACCTAGCGGAGTGCCAAAGTCAGCATCAATCGCCAATGCCAAATTGCTTATACTATGATATATGCCAATTAAGCAGTAGAAACATATTTGTTATTGGAACTCGGCATTTTGATGTGCAAACTGTAAACAAAACCATATCATCATAATGTAGATTGTGTCACTTTAAGCAAAACAATCTATTTCATTCTTTTTCCATGGATCTTCTCTAGTTCAACTATACGTCCCAGTTGAATTTGAAAAGAAAAACATGGAGAGAAACAAAACCCGCTGCTTATCCGTGACTACCCCCTTTCCGCATGTTCCATAGTTGAATATTGGAAAAACATGAGGTAAAGAAAGGACTTCTCATTATTTAACTCTCTACTTCAAAATTAAAGTTGAAATTTCATGTTATAAAAGAAACAAAGGAAACTCTCATTAGCAATAACTAATTGTAAAGCTCCAATTATCTCAATCAAAGTATTAAAACATACTTCATCGAAGACAAACATAAGCTAGCAAAATTAATGAGCAAAGGCAAATAATACAAACATGGATGAGTGGTTAAAGCATTGTGATGCATGCATACAATTCCCATATGCATGAGCTCCAATATTCTTTTTCTCTATTCTCTGTTCAAGCTAAGATGCAAGAAAAAGCATTCTACATGGAGAAGAGAGGTGTGCATACTGTACTCATAGAAATTTCCCCTTTGGACATCAAAGAACTAATTAGAAACTCCAAAGCTGCAAGATCACCAATACTGGAATCAATCGCCAGGTCCAATAAATTTTTAGCAGTTTCCATTGGATTCTTTCTTATATATATAGTAACAAATGCACTTTCGACAGCCTCATATATTGATTTGTCTTGGGAAAATACCTGGAACAATTAATAACAATATCTTATCTCAGGACATCTGAATTCAAAATCAATTTTTAAAAAATATAAATCTAAAGATATGAATATGTTGTTGTTATTTAATATTACCAATGGCAGCATTCTGCGGAGTGATGCATCTGAGCCATCAATCTGAAATTGTCTGCACCTCATCAATAGAAGGATCGTATTCTCCACATCAGTTGCAGAAGAAGAAGCCAGTAGTTGAACAAGGGTTGGCATCAAAGAAGTGACACATTGTGAGAACCGCAGACCAGCCTCAAGCGAGGCCACCAATGCCCTGGTCTGTTCTAAATTCCCTATTTCTGGAATCGCTGCAGCTTCACCCTGCTGCTCTTCATTAAATGTCAAACAGCTGTCACTAACACTCTCTCCCTGCTCCACTGAAGATCCAGCATGCAAATTGTCAGCCTCAGAAGTATCGTCTGAAGTGTTGGACGGCTCCATTACAAGCAATTTTTCTTTGAATTTCTCCAATGTCGCTTCGTAGACTGCAACACGGAGCTGTGGTCCAAATGGGTTATGCTGCAACATGGTGATAAGCAGATTGAGTGCTGATTTCCTAACCATAGCAGTCTTATCCTCCAATCTTCCTGAAGCCACCACTGCCACCTCATTCCAAAGGCCAATTGAAATGGCATGTTCTTCGCATAACTCTGCCCAAACTTGAAGTACCCGGCTTCTCGTGTACGCCGACACATCCCTGCATCGTTCTAGCAGTATCTCCAACATAGCCTGCTTTCCCCTCAACCTTAGACACTTGGAACTAACATCACCTTCCACATCTTTATAGGCCTTTGCAACCAACCTACCCAAGACACCAACAAGAGCATTTCTAATCTTAAAAGATTCCCCACCAAAATGAGGAACTAGAACCCCAACATTGGTGGACATAAACTTCGGAGATTGGTCAGCAAGCTCAACCAGGAACCTCCCTATATTCTCGGCCCCAACACCATCCCTCACATAGTCCTTCGGATCAGTGCGACCAACCTCCCTAATAAGGGCAACAGCTAGGCATCCATCGCCATACTTCTTCTCAGCTGCAGCAACCAACTCCGCAAGGTGGGGAACGGTGTAGTCAAACTTATGGATCAAGTGGAGGATTGATGCGCATGATTGTGCAGTTCTCTGATGCTTCGTTGCAATAGTACCTATTATACGTCCAAGGCCTTCTCTGGTGTCTGCATCCTTCAACAAAGCCTGATTCTCATATAAACTGAAAGTGCACCTACGATGATGGAACGTTCTCATTATAATTACAAAAATGATCTAATTCTTTAAAATAGAAATCATCACCCTTTTTCTACTTCTAATTTGGAAAAAAGTGACTACTTGGAGATAAATGAGAGATAGCTCTCATCAATATCGTTTGATCCAAAGAGCAAAGTGAGATTAATCTCCAGAGAGTTCGCAACCAAATTGATGATTCGACTCCTCTGCGCCTCCCAATTCCATGCATACGTAGGATTCTTCTTCCGACCTTGCACAACCTGATCCAGTCACGGAAAAAATCGATTTTTTTCCCACAGTAAACAGCAAAACGAGCACAAGAGAAATTAGGGTTGGGAGCAAGTTCGTACCTTGGAGCTGACACCAGAGGAGTAAGAGCTGGAGGACTCCTCGAGGAGGGCGATGTTGAGGAGGAAGAAAGTGTAGATCTTGAGGGCATTCCGGTGGGAAGCAATGCGGGTGGCGATGTCCGGGACCTCGTCGGCAGCGGCGCCTGGGGAGGACGGAGACGGAGACGAGAAATGGGGGACGCGGGAGAGAGAGTCGACGTTGGGGAGGAGAACACTGAGGTTAGAGCGCAGGGTCTCGACGAGGTTGAACTTGGAGGAAGGGGGGAGGACGGCGAAGCTGCGGACGAGGGAGTAGACGCGGTCGAATACGTCCTGCTCCTCGACGCAGAAGAGCTCCCTATCGGATAGGTCGAAGGCGACGCCTTTGGGCACGAAATCGAAAAGGAAATCAACAAGACTGCGATTTTTTTATCGAGGGAGCAGAGAGAGCTGGTGGACAGGACGGCTGACCTTTGACGAGCTCTTCCAGTTGCGAAGGACGGAGGGAGGCGACGTCGACGGGGAACTGGACGCGGAGCGAGAGGCCGTCAGAGTCATCTTCTAGGTCCTTGAGATCGGAGGGGAAGACGAAGGGGGGAGCCATTGGAACTCTGTCAGAGAGAGAGAGAGAGAGAGAGAGAGAGAAGAGGGGGGAAGGGTTTCTGGTGAGATTTGAAATTGGCGAAGCGATTTGGGGAAAAAGAAGCGGGAAGACGATCAGTAGCAAAGGGTCGACCATTGGTTTCTATTTTTCATTTTAGTCCCTTTATCGTTTGTTATTTGCATAGTGGGCTGCAAACTGTACTTTGTAGTTTACTTTTCGGCGTTAGGATATCATTTTAGTCCCTTTATTCTTATATATTTGCATAGTAAACTAACTGCAAGCTCTACTTTGTATTAAATTTACCCCTTCAAAGTTTATAAATATCATATTTTACCCTTCTAATTTTAATATTGCATATATCCCTCACAAAATTTAGATATTGCACACATAAATACCTAAAATATTCTTCAATATTTTTCATTCAAAATTTAAATTAATAAAAATAAATATCTTCTTTTTTTTTTAATGTTACCTTAGCAAATTCAAGCAGATGTGTCAATGGTCGTAAGTCATTTACACTATAAACGAATGAGATTGGGTAAAAGTATAGAATTATGATTAAAGATGTCTAAAATAATTACAAATTATAGAAAAAGTATAAATTAATCGTTGATAGGTTATTACCCACATTTAGTAAGCATGTGAAGTGAAATGGACTTCATTTCAGCAATTGCACTAATAATCGAACGAACATGACAGACCGTTTATAGAATCAATTTGAGAACTTACCAAATTAGATTTTAGAAAATATTAAGATCATACAAAAAAGAAAAATTATATACATGGATTTACTGTAAAGATGTTTTTGTCCATTTATCGTAAATGTCTTAAGTTGTAATAGACATACATTCAAAAGTTAAGGCTAAATGAACATCATTATCCTTATTTACAAAATCATCCAAAAATACATATCAAATTGGACTTCAAAAATTCCTAAAATCATCAACAGATAAAAATATATATAGATTTGACATGAAAACATTATTTACCATGTGTGCTGAAAGTTCATGGTTAAACATTCACAAAATCAACAAGAGAACTTGTCAAATTATACTTCAAAGATCCTAAAGTAATTTAAAAAAATATACAAATTTAATTGACATGTTATCCACCTGGTGAAAATTTGATGTGCAATGGACATTTTGAAATTACACTAATAAAAATGGAAATCATTACATTCACTTACAAAATCAATTTAAAAGCAATGCAAATTTGGTCTTGCGGATAAAATAACTAGAACTACATGTATAACCAAAGACATCAGGGATAAAATAAGAGAAGGTCTAAATCACAGGCATTTAGAATCACATACAATCATATTCATAAAGGACTCCTTTATCACTAGACTTTCAGATGGCATAAACATAATCAACAATGTTTGAGTACTCGATGGCCAAGGAAATTTGCGAGGAACATGTTCACTGAAGTGGTTCCATCATCAGATTGAACCTGTCCAAATCAACTCAAAGAAACATGCAAAGTATGGCTGAAGGAAAACCAATGTGATTCCAATAGCAGTGACAACTTGATTGCACCAAGCCACACCCATGAGCGCAGCTAGATGTATAGAAACTGAAAACTACATGAATCTCAGATTGTTTTGATGCATAAGCCCACCAGGTTCAACAGCTCATCATGGTGCAAAGAGAGTGGACACACTTGAAGAAGCCAAATGAACAAGAATAAAGTGTTCTTAAGAAAAATGAGGGCTTATTAGATCAGAAAATAAAACACAGATTTTACCAGCTTCTTCTAACAGTAACTAGTCACCTTGGGCTTTCACTTTCTTTTTCTTTTTCTTGGTTCCTTCACTCCTCATTTGGACATCACCATCATTATCCAAGTCTTCATGACTCTTCTTCTTTTTATTTTTTTTGGGAGTTCCATTTTGTTCTGTATCATGACCATTCACCTTAGGTGGCACCTCTTCCTGTTGTTGCTCCTCTAACTTATGCTTCTTTTTCTTCCTTTTTTCAGTTTCAGGCTCAATAGGAGCATCTCCATCAGCAGCAACCTCAAGAGATTTATCCTCGGCCATGGATTCACCATCTACATTTTCACGTTTAGATTTCTTCTTCTTACTTTTCTTCGTGGAAGCTTCATCTTTCTGTAGTCCATCTGCATTCATACACAGAATTTAGTAGTCATGAATGCATCAGACCAAGCACACGATAAACACTACTAAAATGCAAATCCAATTCCCACAATAAGATTCCACCCAAATTTCGAATATTTGGTATTCATAACTAACCCCATAATTAAGATAGATGTTACTGCAACAATGCCGAGATTTTCCCATCACAAAAAGGAATAAACTTTTACAGCATGAATTCTCCTTTACCAGATGTGGTACCTACTTGACAGGATGCACAGTATTATTGCAACAAAGGATACTCACCAGCATCCTCCTGAGAGGTATTGTTCAATGTACTCTCAATGGCAGCTTTCATCACATCAACATTCTTGCGAGGTGCAACGCCTTTGTCATAAAAGTCCAGTCTCTCCTCAACCTGCTCTCGGAGCTTCTGTCCAAAAATAGAGGTATTCACCTCTAAATGCATTTCTTTAATGTTAGAATAACAGCACGCCAGACTACAGTGAAAAAGTAGATATTCCAACTTAAGACTCACCGGAGAAGCAATCAATGCGGGATGCAATTGAGCATTTGTTTGCAAGATAGCGAGCTATACGACCTTTGTTCTTTGTAGATGCTCGGCCAATAAAAGAAGAATGGAAGATAAGACCATACTTTGGAGTGTTTCCTCGAGTTTTAAGGGCTCTGTAATATGAGGGAAAAATAGGTGATTTTTTAGACTGCTGCATGACTGCTGATCATGCTCATCTAAAACATGTCTATTTAATATAGAAAATAGTTAGACATAAGATGATCATTATCATTCCAACCAAATTTTAAGAGGTTCACTCGCCTCAATAATTTTCATAGAGATAATGGCCAAATTGTATTAACTATGAGATGCATTTATTTAGAAGATAAGAGGCTGGTGCTAGCCTTCTGAAGGGGATAATAAGGCAAAAAGAAGAGAATTTGAACCTGAAAAGTGCTTTCTCTGCACCAAGGATTTGGAGAGTAGATGAAGGACACTTGGCTAGATTGGAAAGACTTCCTGCATGAGATATTAAACGGGCCCCAACAACTTCACCAATAAGAGAAGCCAGATTTGGTGCAATGTCATTCATTTTTGTAACAAGATACTCGTACAGGTTTTTCCGGTATTCAGAAAGATTGATAACTCTCTGAGCAAATTGCTGGACATTAATCAAATCAATCGGAGACAGATCCTGCCCTGCATAGGTACCATAACTATTAAATAAGCATAACACCAATTAGAAAAGAAAATCAATCTTGATTCTTACCCATGGATGCTTTAGCTGCTTCTACAATTTCTTTTGCTTTGTCCTCATCACCAACAATGTCAGCTAATTCTGGAATATGATCCTCGGTCAGGTCTGATTTGTTCTCCACAGACTTTGCAATTTTGGCATACAGGTAATTGTCATTAATGATCTTCATGAGCTCTGGGAAATGCCATGAGTACCATTCTCTGCAAAATGTAGTTTAGTTAATATAGTCATAAACCTGTAAATAAGAAACAGAAGCCAGTCAAGAGGAGGTGTCCTGGAATCTTGCTACCATTAAGGGAGAATTAGACCCTTAAAGATAGATGCCACAAAGTTCACGTTGTTTATGCTAAAAACAAAAGGCAGTCAGACACTAGCATGCTATTGTCTGCTTTCTTCAACATTCCAGATTTAATTTTTCTGAACAATTTTAACATTGTCTTTCATCAGATCATCTCTCTTCTACGGGCAAATTTAAAGAGAGAAAGTTCTTGAAATGCCACAGGTAAACTTATTTTTGTTGCAGTATTTGCTCCCACCTGAGTTTCCATAATTACTCTGGAACAAAAAATTGAAGTAGGTCCAGCCAATTGAAGTCCAGAGTTCTAACAACTTGAGCTCAAAGGTTGCCAGAAGCTAGTTTAGCTGAAGATCAAATAATTATGATATCTTAGTTATATCTGAAGTGATTCTCATCTTAGTATGATACCTTTCCCACACTTGGAAAGGTTGGTTAAAGAACCTCATCAAGGCCTCCAACATTTGGAAAAGAATTTTCATCTAAAAATACGCTAGTGCATTAATATCTTCACATCTGACTTGGGCAGTCATCTTTCATGTTTTATAATCCTCCATGGGCCGGAAGGATGTTCCCAAAAAGGACTTGACAAGAAATATGATAAGCACTAGTTTCAAAGAATTATCATATATCATCACAAGTTGCCAATTACAACTAGCATATGGCTTGATATTCTACAGCTTCTTTAAAGGATGTTGGAAAAAGGGTTTATCTCTGTTAAAAGAATGCCAGTTGCCTGAGGACTCTAACTAGGACCCGGTGGACTTTTTTTTATAAGATTGTCTAAAGAGTGAAGGAATCTTCCGAGTCATATTCATAAAACAACTTTTTTTAGCTACAAGCCGCTTACTCCAATTTCGCTAGTACTTCTACTTATCCTTCAACTTCTCTTCTCTCTAATGAATCAGTGTTCTACCAGCACTGTCTACTTGGTGATCTTAAAATTTAACATTCACTAAATTTTTAATTGAAATTGATCAAAGTTCTGCTATTTCCCCTTTTTTTTCTCATGCATACTGCTGCAGATTGTCTGAACTAAACCAATGACTTGAGCCCTCAAGTGCATTACAAAAAGTGCCTCTAAGTTACATGAGGCAGCAACTTGCTGACCTATGCAAACCAAGTAGTATATAGCTGACTTCAGGAACTAAAGACAGAAAGTTTGATCTCATGAAGTTGGAAGTAACCTGCTTATGTTTGAAACAGCAAAATCAAGATAACGGAAGAGAATCTAAACTCAAAATGGTAAATAGTTACAGAGCCATTTTGCGACTAAAATCAATTAGTGAGGTCAAAGCACGATCTGACACCTCGCAAATTGTCCCAACCATAGAAGCATGAGGAATGGAACTCCTCAATTCCTGAATGCT